ATATATATATGTTATTATTATTATTGGCATCTTTGATGAGGTTGTTTTCTTCATTCTATATGAAATTTACGCTAATGCTAATATTACCTAGACACTATTGGTTTATGGTATAATTCATAATAGATTTTCTTTAGGTTCATGTTGATGTACAGACATTTGCAGTGTTTGTTTCTCTATAACCAAACAAGGGTTTTCGCTGATTAGTTTGTTCTTTTTCATTTGTAACTATTTAAAAAACTTGAAATATATCATAAAATAATAGATATGGCTGCATGCTTTCCCTCTCTCAGGTGCGTGTTGCGGGCCGCTACGTGACCCTGCTGCTGGATCCTCACTCGTACGACGCCGTCATCAATGACTCAGACTCGCTGGACTTCAGCCCCTACGCCCAGGTTCTCATGAGGAGGATTTTCAACCTTGAGCTCCCTCTTCAGCAGCCGGCTAAAGCCAAGGCCATGATGACGAGGTATCACATCACCATTCAAAACCCTTTTGTTGTTATTTTCATCGTGACCTCACGTGTTGGTGGAACTCTTACTCAGTACGTCACACTCATTTGACTGCTTCACGTTTGTGTTTTGTATTTGAGAGTTTTTGATTTGATGTCGTCTACAGTTATGTAGATGTTTTATGAACGAATGACTTGCTGTGTGTCTTTGAGAAAAGGGGATGGTCTTTAAAGTTATGACTTTTTTAAGTGGGGTTCTGTTGAGAGGTTATGAATGGTTAATATCTAACCAGTTGTAGATAGCTCTTTGAAAGACCTCCGTTTGGTGTTTAAGTCTGAACCGACTGATGAATTAATGGCTAGTCTGGTTGGATCCAAGAGCAAAATGGATTTCTGCTTTTTTAAATCAACTGTAGTTTATTCAACACAATTTTAATAACCTTTAAGCCACATTAACTTTTGCATTGCACACTTATAATATCGTTGCATCAAACCCTATGTAAACAACCACCTGACGTGGCCGTGGAAAAGTTTATTAAATGACATTCATGAAAACCTCTTTAAAGTTTCTAAGACTGGAGTTGTTTTTTTTATTGTCATAAGCTCCCTTTGGTCTCACCTCCACTCAGACTAACTGGTCGCTCATATCTCAGGTCAGACTTAAACTCTACTTCTTTACAGAAGTTGTTCAAAAAGTTATCTACAACGGGTAAGATATTTATTGTTATTAATGTTTCCACAGAACTCCACTTCAAAGAAATCTAAGCCATCATTTTGATACAATCTTCTCTTTTATAAAGATGTGACACATCACTTTTTGTTCATATTGCATCAGCGTTCTACTTTCATGTTTCTTGCTCTTCCAGTTTTCTAAACATAGCGCTGAGAGGTGCTCAGTAACAAAGCTTCTCAGTAATTCTGCTTTTTAACCATCAGTCAGTGACGCGTTTTAAAGGAGCAACCCTCTGTTGTTTACCTTTCCTTCCCTCACCGTTCTGTGACATTCTGTGTCTGCAGGCATTTCCTGGGAATGAATCTGTCCACGCTGAACAGCACCATGAGCCGACACCTGAGGTCCCTGCTGAAAAGCGAGATGCTGCACAACCAGAGGAACTGGAAGGAGGAGGGACTTTTCAACCTCTCCTACGGCCTACTTTTCAAGTATAAACAATCTTCCTCCTCCCACACAAAACTGTTATAAAAATGAAAAGAAAAAGAGCCAAACAGTTTATTCACAGTCCATTTAGCGATCGTCTGTTTGTAAGCATGCTGCTCTGCTAAACAAATGTTTCGGGCCAGATTTCCGGCCTTACTTTTTCATCCAAGCAGATCAGAAATGCTCCTTTGTGATGAGTCCTGTTACAAAAGAGAAGGTGGATCATGTGAAACAGGATCTGAGTGTTTACTGTGAWATGAAGAGAAGTTTTTTAGGTGTGCCAGTGGGGAGAAAAAAATTCTATCTCCATCTCTTGTAATCTTAAAAAAGAAAAAAAATCTGTGTGGGCTGCTTATCCGTTCATCTTAAGAAAACCAGTTCTCATTCATCAAGCTGTAAGTGCTGTCTCACACACGTCTCCTCTTCCCCCTGCAGGGCGGGGTACCTCACGCTGTTCGGAGGGGAGCAGAACAACAACAAACCCGATCCCTCCAAAGTCTACGAGGAGTACAGGAAGTTCGACGACCTCTTGTGCAAACTGGCGCGGGGGACGCTGAAAGCAGGTAGAGACCCAACACCGTGACATTTAGGCATGAGTCATATCCAGGTGTTCCCCCGGTGTTTCCGTCAAGCCACGGCCCAACACGCTTTGACATCACTTGTCTGGTGGCTGCCTTACTCAACTGCTTATAGCGTCTGGGGTTTGTGTTTTCAATGATTCAGCTACAAATATTGACCCAACAACATCACGCCGTAATTTACTCTGGTATTGTTTGTCTTCATCATCCATCCAAACTGCATGTCTCCTCCAGCTGTGTGAGCCACAGCTGAGGCTCTTTATTGGTTTAAAGGCCCACTTTGGGAGAAAATGTTTATATTTTCTTTCTGTGACTCACTTGTGGTGTTTATCCGTGTGTGACAGAGGAGAAGAAGGCGGCGCAGACTGTTCAGACGAGACTCTGGGAGCTCCTGGCTCCAGCGGGTCTGACTGACGACTCGGGGTCAGACACGTGGCTCCACGCCTACAGACAGCTCCTGCAGGAGGACGGAGTCGACGAGGAGACGCAGAGGAAGGCCATGCTGATGCAACTCTGGGCCTCACAGGTGAGTCAGACCACCGGGGTGTAGCTTTCACAATGAACTGGTGTAAAGATTAGATGAGATCGCCTGATTAGTCTGATCAGCGAGTTACGACACAGTGTATCCAGAGAAACTGGAATTATTAAAACAAGATGCAGTACTCATGTATGACACATGGTGGTGCTGTTCACCTCTGATTCAGACGGTGCTGAGCTGTTGGGTTGTTTTTTGTGTCAGGATTTTAAAAATTGGCACAGAATGAGTTGATCCTCCTGAGGAATCATTTTTTTTATTTAAAGCTTAGCATTCTTTGAAGGAATGTGCATCACCAACCAGAAATCATGCCAGGCTTTTAGACTAAAATCATCTTATTTTTTTAGAAATGGAGTTGTAGCTGTTTTGATCAAACTTTGAAATGAAGGTTTTTCTTGTGCAATAATATGAAATATCACAGTCAGAGTTTGTGTTACCAAAACCTAACCATGCCAAATCCTAGGGCAATGATAAACCAAGTGTTTGTGTTTGTTTAGGGTTGTGGCAACCATCTCGAATCATGTTGACTTTAAAAGTTAATCAGTTGTAGCAGTAAATCCAATTAATCCTTCCTTCAAGTTCCATTAAAATTCAACCAGTGTTTTACGAGATATTTTAATAACAGACACACAGAAGCAAAAACATGATCATCCGCTTTCCCCTTTTAACAGCAAGTGGCAAATAAATACAATGAAGAAAATAATTAAAACACTTTAACTTTTGTCATATTTGTCAAAGATACCAGCATGGTGCATCTGTTTTCATCTCTAACAATTAGAGATTTATTTTATTTCTATATGTAGCTGTAGTTTTACTGTTTGAGCTGTTAAATTTGGCTTTTTGAAACTTTTCTCTTAAAAACATAATAAATAAACTGGGTTTTGGACTCATAGTCTCCCCTGCAGTCCTGCTTTAGATGTCTTTTTTTGCATCAGAGGTATTAATCAGATCTTTTCTGGCCTCAGCCCTCAGGTTATTTACTCAACTGGGCTCTTTTGGTTTTCTTTAATGTAATCATGAATTTTTAAGCTTTCTAATGAATATAAAACATCAGAAAAAGAAAATAAGAGACATTTCTGTAATGTGAGGATAGCAGTAAATGCGTAAACAGCATATACTCAGACAATACWTTGGTTTAAACTGAAATAAATGGGTTTAAATACATTTTTAAAGTGACACATAGACTGTTTCTGTAATTAAAATGTTCACGTTTAATAAATTTATCAGTTTGAAACGTATTATGGAAAATATTTATCTACTGTTGTACTTCCATAAAACTCAGTGTTTTATTATCAGCTTTGCTGTAACTCTGACTGTCCTGCCCTTGACTGCAGGCAGATGGCGGGGGACCTCGGGTTTCCAACGGCTTTCCTTTTTAAGTAAACGATCACTGCGCTGGGCTCTGCCAGAAGTGATTTAATCCAGAGCATGGCTCTTCTCATCCCAGACACATGAAAGAAAACACCCTCTTATCTGTCATATAGCTCTATAAAATCATCAGGCTTCTTCATTTAATTAAAAATCTGGGCTTTTTGTCGTGACTCAAACAGAAGGTGGATTTGCGAGCCGTGGGTGTCATGTGATGTATGTATTTGCTGTCACCAGAAAGCCACCTGTGCTGTCACTACGCAACGCCAGAGCGAGCGATCTTATCTCCARGCTCATGTGAGTTTCTGTGTACTTTCCAGGGTAATGTTGGCCCTGCTGCGTTTTGGCTTCTGGGCTACCTGTTGACAAATCCTGAAGCCCTGGTGGCGGTGAAGAGGGAGTTTGGCCAGCTGTCACAGATGGAAGACTCAGGGACTCCTCTCCTGGACAGACCCATGAACACACCAGTATTTGGTGAGGACACAGAGAAGTCATGTTTTGCTAGAAATGTTGGTGTATTTTCCAACCCCCCCCCCCCCCCCAAAAAAAAAAAAGAGTTGGTTTTTTTACTCTTTGATGAATGGCTGAAAAAACACATAAACAAACTGATAGTTTTTTTTTTTTACCGAGTTATAAGAAGGGGTGTAAGAAAATATTGATACACTGAAATATCACGATATTTCATTTCGTCATACTATATTGATTCTTAAAATCATGGTATCTATTTTTAATCAAGGGTTAGATCCGGTTTTATGCATGTAATACATGATGTGATATTTCTACTTTTTAAAATTAGAATCTTTTGGAGAAAAAAAGGGCAATATAGCTCCTTGCCTACAATATTGCAACATATTGCAATATATTGTGATATGTATCATATCAACAATTTATTGCCATTACACAGCCCTAGTTGCAAACATCTATTATAAAATCCAAAAGAATCTCATGTCAGAGTCTTTTAGACGTAACACTTCAAAATCCTGCGTTGCGTGTTGTTTTATGCACAAATAGTAACCTTTTCTGCCTTCTGCCTCTCAGACAGCGTCTTGGAAGAGACTCTGAGACTCACCGCCGCCCCCTTCATAACAAGAGAGGTGGTGCAGGATAAGATCCTCAGCATGGCTGATGGCCAAGAGTACCTGCTACGAAAAGGAGACAGGGTGTGCTTGTTCCCCTTCATCAGCCCTCAAATGGACCCCGAGATTTACCGAGAGCCACAGGTTTGTTGTTCTGTCTCAACCCTCTGCTGTACCAGCAGCAGCTTTCTTGCAGACTTGTTGCAGGCAGACTTCAGTAATGAGCATCAGTGGTGGTTTACGTAAGGTTTACTCACCGTCTAAACACAAAGCTGACCCTGTGCAACCCAGTGAGCGGTCAAACCCAGAGCTGTTGGCCACTGAGGGATTAGCAGAGCACGGGAACAGGAACAGAACTAATAGGCGTGGGAAGGACACTGAAGTGTGCTTTAAGAAAAATAAATAAATAAATAAAACTCTGTCAGCTGTTTAGTTAAAAACAATCAGGCACTGCATTTTGTAATTAAACTTAGTGATTGTTTGCGTCTAACATCTGCTGTGCAAAAACAAAAAAAAACTGTGTTTTCTTTCCAGAAATTTAAATATGATCGCTTCATGAACAAAGACGGATCTGTGAAGAAGGATTTCTATAAAGGAGGGAAGCGGTTAAAGTATTACACCATGCCGTGGGGGGCCGGGGCCAACGGCTGCGTGGGGAAACAGTTCGCCATCAACGCCATCAGAAAGTGAGCATCCCCCACCTTCTGTTTTTTGTTTTTTTTCACTCAGCTTTAAAACATCTAAATATTTTAAATTTCTACTTTAAACATCCTGATTTCTTTCATTTCAGGTTTGTTTATATGTTGCTAACAAACTACGATTTGGAGCTGTGTGAGCCGAACGCTCAGATGCCGGAGATAAACGCCAGCCGTTATGGATTTGGGATGCTGCAGCCTGAAGGAGACCTGCTTATCCGATACAAACCCAGAAACACGCAACAGTAAACAATAAACAAACATCTTTGTACATTTCATTATGGAACATTGTTAATAATAAGTGTTATTTTATATGTTTATGTGTTTATATTTATATGTTCAATGTCATTATTTTTGTTATTTATCAATAAATATGAATTGTGATTTTGGTGAGTGATTATCTCAAGTTTTTAAAATTACGTTGGCTTTTAGGAAACAGCTGCTTCAACGCCTAGAGGTTGTTATTTTTACCGTCAAATAGGCAGAATGAGTGTAATGAGGGAACTGCTTGTTCTGTAAACACAACTGGACTCACAACTGTTTGGCTAAAACTCTCCGACTGTTTGCAGAATGAAGCAGAGTGGAAACTTTAGGTTTATGTTGTTCAGACAGTAATGGATCTGTTACTCTTAGGAGAACAGGTTCTAGATTATAATCCATTCTGTGTGTGTTAAAGAGACCACAAAGAACAAATTTATGTTTTATCTTACTGTCATGGTTGGACCCTGAAACAGAGTGGCACGAGGAGCTTCAATAAAAAAAATAACTAAAATTTATTTTATTTTAAAAAAAGGCTGTCCAGAAAAATTACGCAGATCTGAAGAGGAAGTAGAGACATCTGCGCTGGATCTGTAAATCAAAAGCTTTCAGTTGTTCCCAGGTCTCGGCTTGTGACCAGGGGAGACAGAGTCTTTTCAGTTGCAGGACCTCGGCTCTGGAACAATCTCCCRCTGTCTGTGAGGTCTGCTGGGTCTCTAAATGAGTTTAAGTCTCTGTTAAAACTCATCTGTTTAAACAGGCATTTGAGTCTGAAGAGCAGGATCATTAGGCCAGCCTTTGTTGTTTTGTTTGATTTTATTGTTCATTTTATTACTGTACTTTGTTCATTGTTTTTATTTTATGCTCCTGTACAGCACTTTGGTTTTTATTGTGCTTTAAAAATAAACGATGATGATGATGATGATGATGATGATGATCTGAGCTGGATGAAGACAGAACAGGTAAAAGTGGGCGTGGCAGGACTGACTGAAGGTGGCACAGAGGAAACACGTTTTCTTTCTTTGTTATCCAATTTTTTTGTTAATCCTTTATGGTAGTCTTGAGCAACATTTCTAAAGATTTGGGGGGTTTTGGGTGGTGTCTGTATTATTCACCTGAAAAAAAGGCTCAACTCGAACTGAAGAGATATCAAAACATAACAGACAATTAACAAAGACCTGGCATTTACCAGAAGTATGTCACAAAATATCATTTGTTCCTATTTCTCTAAGCGAAGGTATGGAATAAGATTTCTGAACAAACTGGGACTGAGCTGAAAACCTGACATAAAATTTGACTTTTAGAGAGCTTTTTTAGACTTAACACTTTTTATTTTATCAACTTGTCACCTTTCCTTACTCTTAGACACAAACAGCACAATATGCTGTCATAGTCAGGTACAAGAACTGAGCAGAAAACAGAAAAAATCAGCTACAGTTAAAAAAAACTTGGAAAGACTTTCAGAAAGTCAAATAAAAAGTCACCCTTTAAAAGGTCACAAGAAAGTCTGGGTTTTGGACATGAAACAAAAAGAAATGTCAGTTTCAAAACCTTTTGCACAGATGTCAACTTAAAAAGATACATGAATGCATGAAAAAGAAACAGCAGCCTCTGATTTGCCTTTAGTTCCTATGTCAGTCCTAATGATTTGGTGTAGATCTGTTCAATCTTGCTCCTCCAGGGCCATCATGCATTTTTTAGTTTGCTTCCCCACTCTACAGCACGTCTTCAGGTTCTGCAGACTTTTCTTTTTATCACCCATGCTTCAAATTGTGTGTTTTAAAGCAGATAAACAACTAGAATCTGCAGAATAGAGGACCAGAGTTGGACAGATTATGGAGTAACTTATGGTTGACCAATGAAGTCAAGCTGACCTGGTTGCTTCTTGTTGACCTTTCTATTTTTATATCTTTCCAAAGTTCTGTTTTTGGTATTTACAGGGTTCCTGCAGATCCTTAAAATGTCTTAAAAGTCATTGAATTCATCAATCCAAAAATAAGGCCTTAATTAGCCTTAAAATGTCTTAAATCAATCTTCAGAAATCTTAAAAATGTGAACACATTGTAAGTAGGATGACTGTAATTTGTCTCAAATACTAAAATAATTGGTAACATTTATTTATTTTTGAAATATTCCCATTCAGATGTTCCCTTTTGACACCACTTCCTGTTATTTCACCTGCAAATATCTCAACAACTGTTCATCTGAGCAATGTGAAATTGATTTTCTAATATGTTAATAATGTTGTCTTTCCAAAAATGCATTCATATTTCTTACAAAAACATGATGTCACAGGCACTTTAAGGTTTCATCTACAGCAAGCTGGGGTTAAGACCCCACTATGGGTCCTAAAACTACAAATTTTTAGGTCGTTAGAGGATTTCCTGAAATTAAATTAAGTTTAAAACTGTTTGCTAAGAAGGTTTTTAAGAATAAGACTAACATAAAACTTTATTGATCCAACAGTGGGGAAATTTGCACATTGCAGCAGCTCAAAACAGGAAAGGGTGAGATACAATAGAGAAAGATAAGTAAAAGTAAAACAAAAAACACTATACTTGTGATATGTACATATACCTAGTACAGTAAATAAATGAATGTGTATGAAGGTGCATATTAGTGATGGCAGTGTAGATGATTTTTTTTTGCTAAGTTTGATATAAAAGCAGTAAGATATGGATAAAAACAATTGGTCTATTAGCAATATTTGAATACTTCAACCAAAAATACTTTGATTCATGAGTTTCTCCCACAGTTTTTATTTTATTTTATTTTTTTGTCTTTTGTGTTTATTGTGAAATTGGTCTTAAATGTAATTTCACTTGGCATTAAAAAGTCTTAAATTTAACTTGCCTTAAACTATAGGACACCTGATTTACGTTCAAAGCCTTTATTTTTGGAAGCAGATACTACAGTTCACCACCCCCACCCCCTCCCAAAAAAAAAGGGGGGGGGGGAGCAGGGGTTCAGTTCAGACGCACCGAGCTGCGCCTCTCCGGTTCTGAGAGGGTTAATTTCACGCAGGCTGCGCCGCTGGAGGAGCCTGATAGAAACCAGCCTCCACAGCATCCCGTTTCACACACAAACACACTCCGTTTGGAGGCGAGACAACACCGACTGGTCCGGGTTAGACTCCGGAGCCTACTTGTTGATTCGCTCCGGGACTGGACCTGTTCCTTCTCATCATGTCGGCGCGCGGCTCATGATGTCTCCAGCCGCTCCCAGCCGAGCGCGGGACGCACGTTTAGCAAGTTGGAGCGCTCTGACTCCGGAGATGACGCTGATTTGGCTCCAGGAGGCGAAACGGAGTACGAGGAAGACGCGTAAGTATCAATTTGGTGTCTTTATCTGGTTGGCTTCACGTGCTTTTATCTTCAAAAGCGTCCCGCCCTTTGTTTCGATCATTTCTCTGAAGCAGCTACAGMAACTAAACTGCACATTTATCCAACTATTCCTTCACAAAAACGCATAAAAACAGTTGCGCAATTCCGATCTTTGACGCGCAACAAAATGAAACTTTATAGAGCCGATCGCTCCATTTATTAATGTTTTAAAGCAGAAGAGCATCTAAAAACAGTTTGTTGAGCTGTTTATTAAAGTTAAACATGAGGATTAGGATAGTCCAGTAACAGAATAGGTTTGGTCTCAACTGTCCCACCCAAGCGGACACCACTTTCAGCACCATGGACAGAGACAAACCCAGGGCGTTTCAGCACCATGGACAGAGACAAACCCGGGGCGTTTCAGCACCATGGACAGCGCGCGCAGAGTCAGCAGGAAAAGCGGCTGTGCCTCTTAAAGCTGATTAAAATATCTCTTTGTTCCTGTGATGAGTGGATAAAGCTGACACTGCTGCTGTAGGACACTGCTCAGTGTCTGCGCCTGAATAATTTCCTCTTTTTCTTTATTTTTTATTTCTCTTAAATAAGCGCAAGAAACGAAGGGGGGTCCCTATGCGGTCATCAGGAGCGAGTCTTCTTAATCTGCCGGACTTCCACTGGTTTCTTCTGACTGACTGACTGAATGAAGATGATCAAAACCGGGGCTCGGTCGACCACCACGCTGCCGCCGGAGACCATAGACATCATCCGGACCAAAACCCAGTCCCGCCGGGTGAGGCTGAACGTCGGGGGGCTCCTCCACGAAGTCCTCTGGAGGACGCTGGACCGGCTGCCCCGCACCCGGCTGGGCAAACTGAGGGACTGCAACACCCACGAGTCCATCATGGAGATATGCGACGACTACAGCCTGGACAGCAACGAGTACTTCTTCGACAGACACCCGGGCGCCTTCACCTCCATCCTGAACTTCTACCGCACCGGGAAGCTGCACATGATGGAGGAGATGTGCGCCCTGTCCTTCAGCCAGGAGCTGGACTTCTGGGGGATCGACGAGATCTACTTGGAGTCCTGCTGCCAGGCCAGGTACCACCAGAAGAAGGAGCAGATGAACGAGGAGCTGAAGAGGGAGGCTGAGAACATGAGGGAACGGGAGGGAGAGGAGTTCACCACCACATGCTGCTCGGATAAGAGGAGGAAACTCTGGGACCTCCTGGAGAAGCCGAGCTCGTCGTTCGCTGCTAAGGTAACGTCTGGTTTTTACTTTAGTCTCATAATATTAACAACAAGAGGGTAACATGAGCAAGCAGCCAATATGATACGTCTTAAATATTAGTTACTACATTTATTCATAACTTAACATGAATTTAAAAAAAAGTACTGCCTGGGCTGCAGCGGCTCCTAGCGGTGGCTAAACGATATAGCAACTTGCAACCAACAGAACCCTAAAACAAACAAAGCAACAATAAAATAAAAATAACATACGTTATATTGTTTATTGTCTGTGCTGGTTGTTATAACTATATGTAATCTTAGGGAAAAATAAAACTTAAAAATAACAMAACTAGCAAGCTAGCTTTAGCTTGCAGCATGGTCGCTGTAGGAAATTGGAAAGTTTTTTTTAACATTGACATGTTTTATAATACTCAATACTGTTATACATGTTTATGGTTTTGAGTATTTTCACAATTCCCTGGTGTACCTTTGAAGCATGTTTATCATTCATTTATTATATTTTTACCATTTGTCACTTAGGCAAAATAGTAACTTATAGGCCTACATTGTGTTATTTTATTTCTATTTTAAAATGACTGAGACTGTTAAATATTAATGCATTATTGCAAAAATAGCTATAATAGCATATTGGAAAAAATACCACTGGTGAGATGAACATGTGTTAAGATATGCCAATGCACAGTAGCAAGAAGTGACGACAAAGAGCGTGTAAACAGAGCAACTGTAAAGAATCTGCTGTTTTCTTAGATTATTCTGAGTCACTATCAGAAGAGTCCGAGTTTGTGTAAACAAAGACCAGGGATTTGTCTTTGTATTATTACTTTTTTTATTTGTTTACTTTTATTTAAGCAGGCAAATCCCATTGAAATCACAGATCTCTTTTTCTAGGGAGGCCTAGGCTAAAAGGCAGAATAATGGGCATTTTAGTTTAGTTTAATTTAGTTTAGTTTAGTTTTTTCCTGATCTGTGAGAGGAAAACAAACTCCACACAAAAAGATCACAGGTCCAAACTGAGGATCGAACTCATGACCTCCTTGCTGTGAGGCGTCAGTTTTTAAAGATTTCCCCATTGTCGTCACTTCCTGTTTCACTTTGGGCACCGAGTTAAAAAAAGCCAGTAATGTGACAAAATGGGTAAAAACATGTGCATTATGCTAAACTTCTAATAAGTTTGTTTGTATTTATACGTACACCACAGGCACATTATGTGTTGGATATCCTGGCAATTAATAGCAACTATGACAAAAGTTGTTTTGAAAATTTCACTTGTTGCTTGTGTTTACAGGATTTAGAGATCAAATTTCTGATTTGGTCAGTGGTTGTTTCATAGCTTCGTAACAAAGTTTTCCTCTAGTAAAAGCTGTCCGACAGCATAGTTTTAATAATTTAATTATCTTGAGATTTTATGGCAGCTCATTGTTTATAAGTTTCACCTTTTAACTCGAATCTGTGCTTTTATTACTTTAAACAGCTGCAGTTCAGCTGTAAGAAATGTGGCCAAAACAAGCTCATCAGTACTGAACAGGACCATTTTTTAAAAGTAGCCTAATTTAGCTGTCTGATCAACAATATAAATGACTCTAGTTTCATTTTTAAAGAGAGGGGAAAAAAGAGTTGGTAGCTGTTTTTTTTTTAATTGAACAATTAAATCTTTTGTTCTTGAAGCTCCTTTGATTTCATTATTTTGACATGATGCTCTTCATCATTTCCCTTTATTGGCTGCAGTCAGATAGCACAGCCAGTGGCGTCAGCATGCAGATAACTCGAGGTGATTAATGAATGTTTGTTTTTCAGTGGCAGGAAACAGGATGGAAGGAGCCTCGTCACTTAGCATTAGACTTGTCAGCGTCGCAGGAAGTCTTCCTGTGCAAAATATGTATTTTTAGACGCTCACATCACACCCACCCAACCCTTTCTCCTCTCCACAGTCAGCCCTCTTGGCTTCATTTGCCACCTCTGTCTCATTTCTAGTCGAGTATTCAATCATTCGGCTCATTAACGGGCTCGTAGCTCACAGTTCAGGAACTAGAGAACTTCACTTTGGTGGATCAATGGGTGCTGTCATGTTAACAGCACTTTAAAATGGACAAAATGGTTAAATTATGATGCAAACCGGGTCAATAATTAGCTCAAATGTTGAAATGCTGAGAGTGTTTTTGCTGCCAAGCTGTTTGGGCAACAGGAAAGAGTGAAATTGGAAGAAGTTCTGTTTTTAAATGAAACTGCAGGCATCACTGGAGAAAATAACTCCACACAGACACACGTTTTGAAGATAGAAACAAACTTTTCTTTGTAGTTATTAGATACAGTTTAGTTTTAATTTCGCATCCCTTATGAGGTTGGGGGTCAAATTAAAGGAAGTGGTGAGGAGACCTCCTGCATGGAACAGCATGACAACTCCTCCTGAATATGAAAAACATGATGGTCAAATCATTAATCAAAGAAATTTCAAACATCTCTTTGAACAGGAGTTTCTGCATAATTTATATGACCCGTCTATTTAAAGAACCTCTTCTATCTCTGACCCTGACTTGCTGAAGCTCTTAATTATGTTTTGCTTAAAAATTCAGTCTTATTGCCTAAAGACATGAACTGCTGAACTTGGTGTTCGTGCTGCAGCAGTTTAACGAGAACGTCAGATCAACAAACAGGCACTGATTATATTCACATATGTACCTTTTTTAATCTTCAGCTCATCTGTTAAGATCTAAAAAGAAATATTTTTATTTTAACTACTGTATTTTCTACATTTAAAAGACTTCTCTGAATCTGGATGACACAGTTTTATTAAGGTTTAAAACAAACTATGGCAGAAGGAGATGTTTTAGTATTTTTTGTATGCTGACTGAGCTCAGAGGATTTGGTGTCATAAAGTAAATATCAGAAGGGTAACTCATCATTAATACTTTGGTTATGCAACAGTGTAAATTCGTAAAAGACTCATAACATGCGTCAGAGTTCAATCATCACAGACTGATTAGTTTCGTCTTGTAAATTTGCAGTGTTTTACAATATGATTGCACATAACAAACATAATTTGGACCTCATTAAGTGGATTTTTGACATTCATTAATAGCTTTTGACACACTTAAAAACATCTGTAGTTTTACCTTAAAAGCTCTTTCGTTCTTTCATTTTGCCAACAAAAAGTCACCTCAGACTTTAGTTTTAGTCCAGTGTGAGAAATAAAAACAGGGAGGCCGTTCATGTTTTACAAGAGTACTTTTCCTCCTGCTTTGTTTTACTGTACGAGACAGAGAACAGTAGAAATGTCATGCTGAGGTACGGTCAAGCGCTGAAGTTCTGTGGAAGGATTACATCGGCCAAACGCTTGGTTTCCAAACACATATTGTGCCTCATTTATAATTCAGCGCAGATAAAACTTTGATTGCACATCAGTGACGCTTGACTACATGCCAGAGAGAGAGAAGGTGGGATCTAGAATATCTCCAACTCCAGATGTTTTCATATTCTGGGCCTCTTAGAGTTCACAACCCCCCCCCCCCCCCCCCCCCCCCCCCGAACCCCTGACTTTTTTTTAATAAAAGAAAGAATCAGTGAAGGACACGACATGTGGGAGTTTTGAACTGGTTCACACCCACTCGATGCTGAATGTTTACCATAAGTGAAATGAAAACTTGCAGGTAATCATTTCATCAATAAAAGATGAGCTTCTGTTGAGGCAGAACCGTTTGTGTTTTTGTATTTTTCGTTGTTTTTTTTTTTTTTTTTTACTGTATCATTGTGGCACAGCCCGTATAAAACAGCTTGTCGTGGTGGATTCTTGCAGCCACTCAGGAAATCACACTCACCATATTTTTAATGGCGAAAGAATGATGTGAACAAATCTTTATTGTAAAACAGAATTTTACATAGTGTTTCATGATAAATAGGTAAATCCTGCAAAGCTTTGTGAGTTTTGTTTTCACTTTTAAAAACCTCCATGCAGACATGTATGTTGTAGAATACACCAATGCAATAAAAATGTAATACATCCAAAACCCACATGTACGTTACCTAATGAGATGATGTTAATTTGATTTGCACACATAATAAGAGCGCTGYGGTCCCTGGTAATAAGCATAATTGCTGTCTCCTAACAGCCCCGCAGTGACGTTTTGAAATTCTGAACCTTCGGATCAAACGAGGACACTTGAGCAACAAATACTGACACTTGATTTTTGTGCTTCGGTTGAGGCTTTTTGAACTAATTGCTTGGAAAGTTTTTGTCCCAGTGAGCCACAGGCAGTCAGGACTAGAGGGCACTTAACTGAGCTTCTCCCCACACATCAAACATGCCTGATTGACTTCACTGTAAGCACTTCACTTTGCTGTTTGTGAAGTCGGAGAGAGATCACTGAGTGCATCCAGGCTGTGGCAGAGGCTGCTGTTGTGTTGAAGCGATCCACTGACTTCTGTTGACTCCTGCACATTCATCTCATCCAGCTGGGGAAACGACTTTTCTTGTCTTTTTTTTACTTAAAAATGAAAAAAATCTCATGTTGTTTAGTGATCACTTTAGTCTCGGACAGAGATCATCAACTGGTGGCCTGCAGGCCATTTACAGCTCAGCAGCTCATTCCATTTGTCCTGTTGTGGATGACATTATTGTTAAACCAAAAAGAATCTGAATAAATAACAGGTTTACTCACTCACAGTTGTCGCAGTAATCTGGAAATTTTCAAAATTGGATATTTTAGACAGAGAGTAATGGGAATTTATCGCACAGTGGCTCAGTTGGTAGAGCTGTTGCCTCTCTGCAAGAAGGTTGTCAGATCGAATCTCGACACTGGCAGTTTTTCTAGGTTGAGTCTGCATGTTCTCTCTGTGCATGTGTGGGTTTTCTTTGGGTACTCCCACAGACCAGAAACATGAATGTTAGGTTAACTGGTAACTTTAAATTGTCCCTCGGTGTAAGTGAGAGAGTGAATGGTTGTCTGTCTCGTTTGTCTCTGTGTCTCTGTGATGGACTTGTGACCTGTCCAGGGTGTACCCCGCCCCTCACACAGA